GCTATTGGAGGTGCTGCTGGTGCTGGAGCTGCTGGAGGTGCTGCTGGCGCTGCTGGAGGTGCTGCTGGTGCTGGAGCTGCTGGAGCTGCTGGAGGTGCTGCTGCTGCTGGTGGTGCTGCTGGTGCTGCTGAAGCTGCTGGAGGTGCTGGTGCTGCTGACGCTGCTGGAGGTGCTGCTGGTGCTGGTGCTGCTGGAGTTGCTGGAGGTGATGCTCCTACTGGAGGTGCTGCTGGTACTGCTGACGCTGCTGGAGGTGCTGCTGGTGCTGGTGCTGCTGGAGCTGCTGGAGGTGCTGCTACTACTGGAGGTGCTGGTGGTGCTGCTGGAGCTGCTGGAGGTGCTGCTGCTGCTGGCGGTGCTGCTGGCGCTGCTGGAGGTGCTGCTGGTGCTGGCGCTGCTGGAGCTGCTAGAGCTGCTGGGACTGGGCCTGCTGAGGGGGTTGTCGCTGGAGGTGCTGAGCGGCCGCGGCCGTACTACGTTCCGCTCCTTCAGCAGGTTCTTGGTCTCCCGCCCTCTCCTGGTCCTACTCCTCCTCCCCTACTGAGTCCACCGCATGTCCAGTCGCAGTCGCAGTTACAGCCTGCCTCTCCACTGCCTGGTCCCTCTCCTTACACTGCGCCGACAGGTAGCTTTACGGAGCGTCGTGAGCCTGAGTCTCGTCCTCCGTCGCCTGAGTCTAGTCCAGAGTCGCCTGAGTCACGTCCAGAGTCACCAGTCCGCACTGCCCGCGCTAGTCATCGTGCTCCGCGTCATCGTCCTCCTCCTGTCCTTGGCACTCACTATATGACCCTGCGTCCTTCCACTGCTCCACAGCGCGTCCCTCTGCCGTCTCCTCCTGCGTCCTCTCTTCCTGACGTTGCTGACCCGCCGTCAGACCTTACTCGTGCTGCCAGTCCTACTGTAGCGCGTCTCCTTGCAACTGTTGTCACTGACCCTACCTTTGAGTCCTCTGCTGCGTCTGCTCTAGTCACTGAGCTTGTTGACTTTGCTGCCGCCTGTCGTCTAGACTACGCCGCTAGCCTTGTTGCTGAGTCTGAGTCTGTCTGTCCTCCGTCCGTCGGGGGTGAGTGTGCTCTTGGCACGGACGTCCTTGAGGACAGACAGGAGGAGTTTGAGTGCTTTGCTGTTGCTTTACCTCATCTCGTGTCCATGCTGATTGCCCTTGAGGGAGACCCGGATGCACCAGACATCCCGACCCCACGCTCCTACGCAGAGGCGATGGAGGGTCTCTACTCCTCTCAGTGGCAGACAGCCATGGACGCAGAGATGGCTTCCTGGAAGTCCACAGGCACCTACGTCGACGAGGTTCCCCCACCTGGGGCGAACATCGTCAGTGGCATGTGGATTTTCAGGGTGAAGCGGCCGCCGGGTTCTCCGCGTGTCTTCAAGGCGCGTTACGTTGCTCGAGGCTTCAGTCAGCGAGAGGGAGTTGACTTCTTCCAGACCTTCTCCCCGACCCCGAAGATGACCACTCTTCGGGTTCTGCTGCACGTCGCTGCTCAGCGTGACTACGAGCTCCACTCTCTTGACTTCAGCACTGCGTTCCTACAGGGCAGCCTACACGAGGAGATCTGGCTGCGCCGCCCACCTGGCTTCACTGGGTCGTTCCCTCCTGGTACCCAGTGGAGCCTCCGGCGGCCAGTCTACGTTCTCCGCCAGGCACCCCGTGAGTGGCACGACACACTGAGGACTACGCTTGCGGCTCTTGGGTTTGCTCCTTCTACTGCTGACCCGTCGCTGTTTCTACGCACCGACACCACTCTGCCGCCGTTCTACGTTCTCGTGTACGTCGACGACTTGGTATTTGCTACTGCTGACACTGAGGCACTCGCCCACGTGAAGTCGGAGCTGCAGAAGAGACACACGTGCACAGACCTGGGTGAGCTGACAAGCTATCTTGGCTTGCGGATCACCCGGGACAGAGCACAGCGCACCATCACCTTGACTCAGTCACACATGGTGCAGCAGGTCCTTCAGCGCTTCCGCTTCACGTACTCCTCGCCTCAGCCCACTCCTCTGCCTACTGGTCACTCGCTCTCAGCTCTGCCTTCGGATGAGTCCATAGAGCCGAGTGGCCCATATCCAGAGCTTGTGGGCTGCCTCATGTACCTGATGACCTGCACTCGACCTGACCTTGCATACCCTCTTAGCATCCTAGCACGCTATGTCGCTCCTGGCCGCCACCAGAAGGAGCACATGGATGCCGCTAAGAGGGTGTTGCGCTACTTGTGCAGTACGTCGGGCATGGGGCTTGTGCTTGGAGGACGGCACGACGTTGTCCTCACTGGACACTCAGACGCTTCTTGGGCTGACGACCAGGCTACGCAGCGGTCGTCTCAGGGTTACACCTTCAGCCTTGGCTCTGGCTCTGTTTCCTGGCGTTCTACACGCTCTTCCTCTGTTCTCAGCTCCAGTTGTGAGGCTGAGATCTACGCCACAGCCATGGCTGCCCAGGAGCTACGCTGGCTCACCTACTTGCTGACCGACCTCAGAGAGCGGCCTCGTTCTCCTCCAGTGCTGTACGTCGATAACAAGGCAGCCATTGCCTTGTGTCAGGAGCACAGACTGGAGCACAGAACGAAGCACATCGCTCTGCGCTACTTCCTTGCTCGAGAGCTGCAGCAGCGTGGTCAGCTTCGTCTTTCGTACGTGGCCACTCGGGCCAACACTGCTGATGTGTTCACCAAGGCGCTTCAGCCTTGTGATCATCAGCGTTTCTGTACTGTTCTAGGCCTTGTACCTACTGTCCCTCACTTGCTCACTTCTTGACTCTGCTTGTACTGTGATCTCTATATATATACCTGCATGCTTACACTTGCTCGGTTGTGATCACTGTACCTCTTGTTATATTATCAATCTGCATGTGAACTGGTCTTGTGACCACTTGCTTGTGCTCGGAATTTGTGTGGCATCCTTGAGATCCACCCTGAGCTTGTTTTGCTTTGCTTTGACTGGTCTTGTGACCCCTTGCTCTCCCCCACTTAGCCTATGGGGGTGTGTCAAACATTATATGTTTACATTGTGTAGGCTATAGTGGGTTTAGCCTTAGGGGGTACAACATTCTAGGGTTTCCTTCTTGTACTCCCAATCTTGTTAGTTTAAACACACTTGTTCATTCTAACATGTCTGGGCCTATTGCCAATCCTGCAAGGGCGTGGTAGGGTTACAAGCATCATTGGTCATCAGCGCTCGCGAATGAAGAGCGCCCGCTGCACTTCCTGCACATGTCGCGGATCCTTTCGTGTTTTGGGGCTGGAAGTGCTCGCATGAGCGTTATTCTTCTACCGGTTCACCTGGCTACGCTTGTCTGGGCCTATTGCCAAGCCAGCAAGGGCGTGGGAGGGTTGTGAGCATCATTGGTCATCAGCGCTCGCAATGAAGAGCGCCCGCTGCACTTCCTGCTGATGTGCGGATCCTTCCGCGTTTTGGGGATGGAAGCGCTCGTTCGGAGCGTTTTTCTTCTGCCGGGTCACCTGGCTGCGCTTGTCTGGGCCTGTTGCCAAGCCAGGAAGGGCGTGGGAGGGTTGCGAGCATCATTGGTCATCACCGCTCGCGAATGAAGAGCGCCCGCTGCACTTCCTGCACATGTGCCGCATCCTTCCGCGTTTTGGGGCTGGAAGCGCACGTCTGAGCGTTTTTCTTCTACCAGATCACCTGGTTGCGCATTTATGGGCCTATTGCCAAGCCAGCAATGGCGTGGAATGGTTGCGAGCATCATTGGTCATCAGCGCTCGCGAATGAAGAGCGCCCGCTGCACTTCCTGCACATGTGCGGATCCTTCCACGTTTTGGGGCTGGAAGCGTTCGTTCGGAGCGTTTTTCTTCTACCGGGTCACCTGGCTGCACTTGTCTGGGCCTATTGCCAAGCCAGCAAGGGCGTGGGTGGGTTGCAAGCATCATCGGTCATCGGCGCTCGCGAATGATGAGCGCCGGCTGCACTTCTTGCACATGTGCGGATCCTTCCGCGTTTTGAGGCTAGAAGCGCTCTGAGCGTGTTTCTTCCTTTGGGTCACCAGGCTGTGCTTGTGTGGGCCTATTGCCAAGCCAGCAAGGGCTTGGGTGGGTTGCAAACATCATCAGTTATCGGCGCTCGCGAATGATGAGCGCCCGCTGCACTTCCTGCACATGTGCGGATCCTTCCGCGTTTTGGGGCTGGAAGCGCTCGTTCGGAGCGTTTTTCTTCTACCGGATACCCTGGCTGCGCTTGTCTGGGCCTATTGCCAAGTCAGCAAGGGCGTGGGAGGGTTGCGAGCATCATTGGTCATCAGCGCTCGTGAATGAAGAGCGCCCGCTGCACTTCCTGCACGTGTGCGGATCCTTCCGCTTTTTGGTTCTGGAAGCGCTCGTTCGGAGCGGTTTTCTTTTATCAAGTCACCTGGCTGCTCTTGTCTGGGCCTATTGCCAAGCCAGCAAGGGCGTGGGTGGGTTGCAAGCATCATCGGTCATCGGCGCCCGCGAATGATAAGCGCCCGCTGCACTTCCTGCACATGTGCGGATCCTTCCGCATTTTGAGGCTAGAAGCGCTCGTTCTGAGCGTTTTTCTTCCGTTGGGTCACCAAGCTGCGCTTGTCTGGGCCTATTGCCAAGCCAGCAAGGGCTTGGGTGGGTTGCAAGCATTATCGATCATCGGCGCTCGCGAATGAAGAGCGCCCACTTCACTTCCTGCACATGTGCGGATCCTTCCGCGTTTTGGGGCTAGAAGCGCTCGTTACGACCGTTTTTCTTCCGCCGGGTCACGTGGCTAAGCTTGTCTGGGCCTAATGCCAAGCCAGCAAGGGCGTGGGAGGGTTGCGAGCATCATTGGTCTTCAGCGCTCGTGAATGAAGAGCGCCCGCTGCACTTCCTGCACATGTGCGGATCCTTCCGCGTTTTGGGGCTGGAAGCGCTCGTTCGGGGCGTTTTTCTTCTACCGGGTCACCTAAGTGCGCTTGTCTGTGCCCTTTGCCAAGCCAGCAAGGGCGTGGGAGGGTTGCGAGCATCATTGCTCATCAGCGCTTGCGAATGAAGAGCGCGCGCTGCACTTCCTGCACATGTGCGAATCCGTCCGCGTTCTGGGGTTGGAAGCGCTCGTTGGGAGTGTTTTTCTTCTACCGGGTCACCTGGCTGCGCTTTTCTGGGCCTATTGCCAAGCCAGCAAGGGCGTGGGAGGGTTGCGAGCAGCATTGGTCATCAGCGCTCGCGATGAAGAGCGCCCGCTGCACATCCTGCACATGTCGCGCATCATTCCGCGTTTTGGGGCTGGAAGCGCTCGTCTGAGCGTTCTTCTTCTACCGGGTCACCTGGCTGTGCTTGTCTGGGCTTATTTCCAAGCCAGCAAGGGCGTGGGAGGGTTGCGAGCATCATTGGTCATCAGCGCTCGCAATGAAGAGCGCCCGCTGCACTTCCTGCAGATGTCGCGGATCCTTCCGCGTTTTGGGGCAGGAAGCGCTTGTCTGGGCCTTCACCCTACCCCAATCTCCCGCTTTCCATCACCCCGCCCCATTCTCCCGCTTTCCATCACCCCGCCCCATTCTCCCGCTTTCCATCACCCCGCCCCATTCTCCCGCTTTCCATCACCCCGCCCCATTCTCCCGCTTTCCATCACCCCGCCCCATTCTCCCTCCTTCCATCACCCCGCCCCATTCTCCCGCTTTCCATCACCCCGCCCCATTCTCCCGCTTTCCATCACAACGCCCCATTCTCCCGCTTTCCATCACCCCTCCGCATTCTCCCGCTTTCCATCACCCCGCCCCATTCTCTCGCTTTCCATCACCCCGCCCCATTCTCCCGCTTTCCATCACCCCGCCCCATTCTCCCGCTTTCCATCACCCCGCCCCATTATCCCGCATTCCATCACCCCGCCCCATTCTCCCGCTTTCCATCACCTCGCCCCATTCTCCCGCTTTCCATCACCCCGCCCCATTCTCCCGCTTTCCATCACCCTGCCCCAATCTCCCGCTTTCCATCACCCCGCCCCATTCTCCCGCTTTCCATCACCCCGCCCCATTCTCCCGCTTTCCATCACCCCGCCCCATTCACCCGCTTTCCATCACCCCGCCCCATTCTCCCGCTTTCCATCACCCCGCCCCATTCTCCCGCTTTCCATCACCCCGCCCCATTCTCCCCCTTTCCATCACCCCGCCCCATTCTCCCGCTTTCCATCACCCCGCCCCATTCTCCCGCTTTCCATCACCGCGCCCCATTCTCCCGCTTTCCATCACCCCGCCCCATTCTCCCGCTTTCCATCACCTCGCCTCATTCTCCCGCTTTCCATCACCCCGCCCCATTCTCCCTCCTTCCATCACCCCGTCCCATTCTCCCTCCTTCCATAACCCCGCCCCATTCTCCCTCCTTCCATCACCCCGCCCCATTCTCCCGCTTTCCATCACCCCGGCCCATTCTCCCTCCTTTCCATCACCCCGCCCCATTCTCCCGCTTTCCATCACCCCGCCCCATTCTCCCGCTTTCCATCACCCCGCCCCATTCTCCCGCTTTCCATCACCCCGCCCCATTCTCCCGCTTTCCATCACCCCGCCCCATTCTCCCGCTTTCCATCACCCCGCCCCATTCCCCCGCTTTCCATCACCCCGCCCCATTCTCCCGCTTTCCATCACCCGCCCCATTCTCCCGCTTTCCATCACCCTGCCCCAATCTCCCGCTTTCCATCACCCTGCCCCAATCTCCCGCTTTCCATCACCCCGCCCCATTCTCCCGCTTTCCATCACCCCGCCCCATTCTCCCGCTTTCCTTCACCCCGCCCCATTCTCCCGCTTTCCATCACCCCGCCCCATTCACCCGCTTTCCATCACCCCGCCCCATTCTCCCGCTTTCCATCACCCCGCCCCATTCTCCCGCTTTCCATCACCCCGCCCCATTCTCCCCCTTTCCATCACCCCGCCCCATTCTCCCGCTTTCCATCACCCCGCCCCATTCTCCCCGTTTCCATCACCCCGCCCCATTCTCCCGCTTTCCATCACCCCGCCCCATTCTCCCGCTTTCCATCACCCCGCCCCATTCTCCCCCTTTCCATCACCCCGCCCCATTCTCCCGCTTTCCATCACCCCGCCCCATTCTCCCGCTTTCCATCGACCCGCCCAATTCTCCCGCTTTCCATGACCCCGCCCCATTCTCCCGCTTTCCATCGCCCCGCCCCATTCTCCCGCTTTCCATCGCCCCGCCCCATTCTCCCGCTTTCCATCACCCCGCCCCATTCTCCCCCTTTCCATCACCCCGCCCCATTCTCCCGCTTTCCATCACCCCGCCCCATTCTCCCGCTTTCCATCACCCCGCCCCATTCTCCCGCTTTCCATCACCCCGCTCCATTCTCCCACTTACCATCACCCCGCTCCATTCTCCCGCTTTCCATGACCCCGCCCCATTCTCCCGCTTTCCATCGCCCCGCCTCATTCTCATGCTTTCCATCACCCCGCCCTATTCTCCCGCTTTCCATCACCCCGCCCCATTCTCCCGCTTTCCATCACCCCGCCCCATTCTCCCGCTTTCCATCACCCCGCCCCGTTCTCTCGCTTTCCATCACCCCGCCCCATTCTCCCCCTTTCCATCACCCCGCCCCATTCTCCCGCTTTCCATCACCCCACACCATTCTCCCGCATTCCATCACCCTGCCCTATTCTCCTGCTTTCCATCACCCCGCCCCATTCTCCCGCTTTCCATCACCCCGCCCCATTCTCCCGCTTTCCATCACCCCGCCCCATTCTCCCGCTTTCCATCACCCCGCCCCATTCTCCCGCTTTCCATCACCCCGCCCCATTCTCCCGCTTTCCATCACCCCGCCCCATTCTCCCGCTTTCCATCACCCCGCCCCATTCTCCCGCTTTCCATCACCTCGCCCCATTCTCCCTCCTTCCATCACCCCGCTTCATTCTCCCTCCTTCCATCACCCCGCCCCATTCTCCCTCCTTCCATCACCCCGCCCCATTCTCCCGCTTTCCATCACCCCGCCCCATTCTCCCGCTCTCCATCACCCCGCCCCATTCTCCCGCTCTCCATCACCCCGCCCCATTCTCCTGCTTTCCATCACCCCGCCCCATTCTCCCGCTTTCCATCACCCCGCCCCATTCTCCCGCTTTCCATCACCCCGCCCCATTCTCCCCCTTTCCATCACCCCGCCCCATTCTCCCGCTTTCCATCACCCCGCCCCATTCTCCCGCTTTCCATCACCCCGCCCCATTCTCCCGCTTTCCATCACCCCGCCCCATTCTCCCGCTTTCCATCACCCCGCCTCATTCTCCCGCCTTCCATGACCCCGCCTCATTCTCTCGCTTTCCATGACCCCGCCCCATTCTCCCTCCTTCCATCACCCCGTCCCATTCTCTCTCCTTCCATCACCCCGCCCCATTCTCCCTCCTTCCATCACCCCGCCCCATTCTCCCGCTTTCCATCACCCCGCCCCATTCTCCCGCTTTCCATCACCCCGCCCCATTCTCCCGCTTCCCATCACCCCGCCCCATTCTCCTGCTTTCCATCACCCCGCCCCATTCTCCCGCTTTCCATCACCCCGCCCCATTCTCCCGCTTTCCATCACCCCGCCCCATTCTCCCGCTTTCCATCACCCCGCCCCATTCTCCCGCTTTCCATCGCCCCGCCCCATTCTCCCGCTTTCCATCGCCCCGCCCCATTCTCCCGCTTTCCATCACCCCGCCCCATTCTCCCGCTTTCCATCACCCCTCCCCATTCTCCCCCTTTCCATCACCCCGCCCCATTCTTCCGCTTTCCATCATCCCGCCCCATTCTCCCGCTTTCCATCACCCCGCCCCATTCTCCCGCTTTCCATCACCCTGCCCCATTCTCCCGCTTTTCATCACCCTGCCCCATTCTCCCTCCTTCCATCACCCCGTCCCATTCTCCCTCCTTCCATCACCCCGCCCCATTCTCCCGCTTTCCATCACCCCGCCCCATTCTCCCGCTTTCCATCACCCCGTCCCATTCTCCCGCTTTCCATCACCCCGCCCCATTCTCCCGCTTTCCATCACCCCGCCCCATTCTCCCGCTTTCCATCACCCCGCCCCATTCTCCCGCTTTCCATCACCTCGCCCCATTCTCCCGCTTTCCATCACCCCGCCCCATTCTCCCGCTTTCCATCACCCCGCCCCATTCTCCCGCTTTCCATCACCCCGCCCCATTCTCCCGCTTTCCATCACCCCGCCCCATTCTCCCGCTTTCCATCGACCCGCCCAATTCTCCCGCTTTCCATGACCCCGCCCCATTCTCCCGCTTTCCATCGCCCCGCCCCATTCTCCCGCTTTCCATCGCCCCGCCCCATTCTCCCGCTTTCCATCACCCCGCCCCATTCTCCCCCTTTCCATCACCCCGCCCCATTCTCCCGCTTTCCATCACCCCGCCCCATTCTCCCGCTTTCCATCACCCCGCCCCATTCTCCCGCTTTCCATCACCCCGCTCCATTCTCCCACTTACCATCACCCCGCTCCATTCTCCCGCTTTCCATGACCCCGCCCCATTCTCCCGCTTTCCATCGCCCCGCCTCATTCTCATGCTTTCCATCACCCCGCCCTATTCTCCCGCTTTCCATCACCCCGCCCCATTCTCCCGCTTTCCATCACCCCGCCCCATTCTCCCGCTTTCCATCACCCCGCCCCAATCTCCCGCTTTCCATCAACCCGCCCCATTCTCCCGCTTTCCATCACGCCGCCCCATTCTCCCTCCTTCCATCACCCCTCCTCATTCTCCCGCTTTCCATCACCGCGCCCCATTCTCCCGCTTTCCATCACCCCGGCGCATTATCCCGCTTTCCATCTCCCCGCCCCATTCTCCCGCTTTCCATCACCTTGCCCCATTCTCCCGCTTTCTATCACCCCGCCCCATTCTCCAGCCTTCCATCACCGCGCCCCATTATCACGCTTTCCATCACCCCGCCCCATTCTCCCGCTTTCCATCACCCCGCCCCATTTTCCCTCCTTCCATCACCCCGCCCCATTATCCCGCTTTCCATCACCCCGCCCCATTCTCCCGCTTTCCATCACCCCGCTCCATTCTCCCGCTTTCCATCACCCCGCTCCATTCTCCCGCTTTCCATCACCCCGCTCCATTCTCCCGCTTTCTACTCGCCTACTCGCCTACTCGCCTACTCGCCTACTCGCCTACTCGCCTACTGGCCTACTGGCCTACTGGCCTACTCGCCGACTCGCCTACTCGCCTACTCGCCTACTCGCCTACTCGCCTATTCGCCTACTCGCCTATTCGCCTATTCGCCTATTCGCCTATTCGCCTATTCGCCTATTCGCCTACAAGCCTACTGGCCTACTGGCCTACTAGCCTACTGGCCTACTGGCCTACTGGCCTACTTGCCTACTGGCCTACTGGCCTACTGGCCTACTGGCCTACTGGCCTACTGGCCTATTGGCCTATTGGCCTATTGGCCTATTGGCCTATTGGCCTTCGCCAAATCCCCTATTCGCCTATTGGCCTACTGGCCTAGTGGCCTACTGGCCTACTGGCCTACTGGCCTACTGGCCTACTGGCCTAGTGGCCTAGTGGCCTAGTGGCCTAGTGGCCTACTGGCCTACTGGCCTACTGGCCTACTGGCCTACTGGCCTACTGGCCTACTGGCCTACTGGCCTACTGGCCTACTGGCCTACTGGCCTACTGGCCTACTGGCCTACTCGCCTACTGGCCTACTGGCCTACTGGCCTACTGGCCTACTGGCCTACTGGCCTACTGGCCTACTCGCCTACTCGCCTACTCGCCTACTCGCCGACTCGACTACTCGCCTACTGGCCTACTGGCCTACTGGCCTACTGGCCTACTGGCCTACTCGCCTACTGGCCTACTCGCCTACTCGCCTTCTCGCCTACTCGCCTACTCGCCTACTGGCCTACTGGCCTACTGGCCTACTGGCCTACTGGCCTACTGGCCTACTGGCCTACTGGCCTACTGGCCAACTGGCCTACTCGCCAACTCGCCTACTGGCCTACTGGCCTACTGGCCTACTGGCCTACTGGCCTACTGGCCTACTGGCCTACTGGCCTACTCGCCTACTGGCCTACTGGCCTACTCGCCTACTGGCCTACTGGCCTACTGGCCTACTGGCCTACTGGCCTACTGGCCTACTCGCCTACTCCCCTACTCGCCTACTCGCCTACTCGCCTACTCGCCTACTCGCGTACTCGCCTACTCGCCTACTCGCCTACTCGCCTACTCGCCTACTCGCCTATTGGCCTACTCGCCTACTCGCCTACTCGCCTACTCGCCTACTTGCCTACTCGCCTACTCGCCTATTTGCCTACTCGCCTATTCGCCAATTCGCCTATTCGCCTATTCGCCTATTCGCCTACTGGCCTACTGGCCTACTGGCCTACTGGCCTACTGCCCTACTCGCCTACTGGCCTACTGGCCTACTGGCCTACTGGCCTACTGGCCTACTTGCCTACTGGCCTACTGGCCTACTGGCCTACTGGCCTATTGGCCTACTGGCCTACTGGCCTATTGGCCTATTGGCTTATTGGCCTATTGGCCTATTGGACTATTGGCCTTCGCCAAATCCCCTATTCGCCTATTCGCCTATTCGCCTATACCCCTATTGGCCTACTGGCCTACTGGCCTACTGGCCTACTGGCCTAGTGGCCTAGTGGCCTACTGGCCTACTGGCCTACTGGCCTACTGGCCTACTGGCCTACTGGCCTACTGGCCTACTGGCCTACTGACCTACTGGCCTACTGGCCTACTGGCCTACTGGCCTACTGGCCTATTGGCCTACTGGCCTATTGGCCTACAGGCCTACTGGCCTACTGGCCTACTGGCCTACTGTCCTACTGGCCTACTGGCCTACTGGCCTACTGGCCGACTAGCCTACTGGCCTACTGGCCTACTGGCCTACTGGCCTACTGGCCTACTGGCCTACTGGCCTACTGGCCTACTGGCCTACTGGCCTACTGGCCTTCGGGCCTACTGGCCTACTGGCCTACTGGCCTACTGGCCTACTGGCCTACTGGCCTACTCGCCTACTCGCCTACTCGCCTACTCGCCTACTCGCCTACTCGCCTACTCGCCTACTCGCCTATTCGCCTACTCGCCTACTCGCCTACTCGCCTACTCGCCTACTCGCCTACTCGCCTACTCGCCTACTCGCCTATTCGCCTAATCGCCTACTCGCCTACTCGCCTACTCGCCTACTCGCCTACTCGCCTACTGGCCTACTACTGGCCTACTGGCCTACTGCCTTCGGGCCTACTGGCCTACTGGCCTACTGGCCTACTGGCCTACTGGCCTACTGGCCTACTGGCCTACTCGCCTACTCGCCTACTCGCCTACTCGCCTACTCGCCTACTCGCCTATTCGTCTACTCGCCTACTCGCCTACTCGCCTACTCGCCTACTCGCCTACTCGCCTACTTGCCTATTTGCCTATTCGCCTACTCGCCTACTCGCCTACTCGCCTACTCGCCTACTGGCCTACTACTGGCCTACTGCTGGCCTACTGGCCTACTGGCCTACTGGCCTCTTGGCCTCCTGGCCTCTTGGCCTCTTGGCCTGTTGGCCTTCTGGCCTGCTGGCCTGCTGGCCTGCTGGCCTATTGGCCTACTGGCCTACTGGCCTACTGGCCTACTGGCCTACTGGCCTACTGGCCTACTGGCCTACTGGCCTACTGGCCTACTGGCCTACTGGCCTACTGGCCTACTGGCCTACTGGCGTACTGGCCTACTGACCTACTGGCCTACTGGCCTACTGGCCTACTGGCCTACTGGCCTACTGGCCTATTGGCCTACAGGCCTACTGGCCTACTGGCCTACTGGCCTACTATCCTACTGGCCTACTGGCCTACTGGCCTACTGGCCGACTAGCCTACTGGCCTACTGGCCTACTGGCCTACTGGCCTACTGGCCTACTGGCCTACTGGCCTACTGGCCTACTGGCCTTCGGGCCTACTGGCCTACTGGCCTACTGGCCTACTGGCCTACTGGCCTACTGGCCTACTGGCCTACTGGCCTACTCGCCTACTCGCCTACTCGCCTAATCGCCTACTCGCCTATTCGCCTACTCGCCTACTCGCCTACTCGCCTACTCGCCTACTCGCCTACTCGCCTACTCGCCTATTCGCCTAATCGCCTACTCGCCTACTCGCCTACTCGCCTACTCGCCTACTCGCCTACTGGCCTACTACTGGCCTACTGGCCTACTGGCCTAATGGCCTACTGGCCTACTGGCCTACTGGCCTACTGGCCTACTGGCCTACTGGCCTTCGGGCCTACTGGCCTACTGGCCTACTGGCCTACTGGCCTACTGGCCTACTCGCCTACTCGCCTACTCGCCTACTCGCCTACTCGCCTACTCGCCTACTCGCCTACTCGCCTACTCGCCTACTCGCCTATTCGTCTACTCGCCTACTCGCCTACTCGCCTACTCGCCTACTCGCCTACTCGCCTACTCGCCTATTTGCCTATTCGCCTACTCGCCTACTCGCCTACTCGCCTACTCGCCTACTGGCCTACTACTGGCCTACTGCTGGCCTACTGGCCTACTGGCCTACTGGCCTCTTGGCCTCCTGGCCTCTTGGCCTCTTGGCCAGTTGGCCTTCTGGCCTGCTGGCCTGCTGGCCTGCTGGCCTGCTGGCCTACTGGCCTACTGGCCTACTAGCCTACTGGCCTACTGGCCTATTGGCCTACTAGCCTACTGGCCTACTGGCCTACTGGCCTACTGGCCTACTGGCCTACTGGCCTACTGGCCTACTGGCCTACTGGCCTACTGGCCTACTGGCCTACTGGCCTACTGGCCTACTGGCCTACTGGCCTACTGGCCTACTGGCCTACTGACCTACTGGCCTACTGGCCTACTGGCCTACTGGCCTACTGGCCTACTGGCCTACAGTGGCCTACTGGCCTACTGGCCTACTGGCCTACTGGCCTACTGGCCTACTGGCCTACTGGCCTACTGGCCTACTGGCCTACTGGCCTACTGGCCTACTCGCCTACTCGCCTACTCGCCTACTCGCCTACTCGCCTACTCGCCTACCGCCTACTCGCCTACTCGCCTACTCGCCTACTGGCCTACTCGCCTACTCGCCTACTCGCCTATTCGCCTATTCGCCTATTCGCCTATTCGCCTACTGGCCTACTGGCCTACTGGCCTACTAGCCTACTGGCCTACTGGCCTACTGGCCTACTGGCCTTTTGGCCTACTGGCCTATTGGCGTACTGGCCTACTGGCCTATTGGCCTATTGGCCTATTGGCCTATTGGCCTTCGCCAAATCCCCTATTGGCCTATTGGCCTTCGCCAAATCCCCTATTCGCCTACTCGCCTACTCGCCTATTCGCCTATTGGCCTACTGGCCTACTGGCCTACTGGCCTACTGGCCTACTGGCCTACTGGCCTACTGGCCTAGTGGCCCACTGGCCTACTGGCCTACTGGCCTACTGGCCTACTGGCGTACTGGCCTACTGGCCTACTGGCCTACTGGCCTACTGGCCTACTGGCCTACTGGCCTACTGGCCTACTGGCCTATTCGCCTATTGGCCTATTGGCTTATTGGCCTATTGGCCTTCGCCTATTCGCCTATTCGCCTATTCGCCTATTGGCCTATTGGCCTACTGGCCTACTGGCCTATTGGCCTACTGGCCTACTGGCCTACTGGCCTACTGGCCTACTGGCCTACTGGCTTACTGGCCTATTGGCCTATTGGCAAATTGGCTTATTGGCCTATTGGCCTTCGCCTATTCGCCTATTCGCCTATTGGCCTACTGGCCTACTGGCCTACTGGCCTACTAGCCTACTGGCCTACTGGCCTACTGGCCTAGTGGCCTACTGGCCTACTGGCCTACTGGCCTACTGGCCTACTGGCCTACTGGCCTACTGGCCTACTGGCCTACTGGCCTATTGGCCTATTGGCCTATTGGCGTATTGGCCTATTGGCCATCGCCTATTCGCCTATTCACCTATTCGCCTAGTGGCGTACTGACCTACTGGCCTACTGGCCTACTGGCCTACTGGCCTACTGGCCTACTGGCCTACTGGCCTATTGGCCTATTGGCCTATTGGCATATTGGCCTATTGGCCTTCGCCTATTCGCCTATTCGCCTATTGTCCTATTGGCCTACTGGCCTACTGGCGTACTGGCCTACAGGCCTACTGGCCTACTGGCCTACTGGCCTACTGGCCTACTGGCCTACTGGCCTACTCGCCTACTCGCCTACTGGCATACTGGCCTACTGGCCTACTGGCCTACTGGCCTACTGGCCTACTGGCCTACTGGCCTACTCGCCTACTCGCCTACTCGCCTACTCGCCTACTCGCCTACTGGCCTACTGGCCTACTGGCCTACTGGCCTAGTGGCCTACTGGCCTACTGGCATATTGGCCTATTGGCCTTCGCCTATTCGCCTATTCGCCTATTGGCCTATTGGCCTACTGGCCTACTGGCGTACTGGCCTACTGGCCTACTGGCCTACTGGCCTACTGGCCTACTGGCCTACTGGCCTACTGGCCT